TAGGTGCTTAAACGAAGCATCTGTATATCACCAACCTATAACAGTGGAGCCTCCAGCGCCACAAATGTGCTTTGAATCTCTGACAGTATTGAACCAGCCTGACTCTGGGAGGGTCGACTGAGCGGAAAACTTACACACGTTCACCATAAAACAATTAACACAGCCTGGCATTAACCGGCCGCCCACGGGGCCCATTGTGAACCCGATGGAAAGTGCATGTAATGTGTGCGGGAGTGTCGTGTCACAGCAGGGCAGGGCCATTGTGTCACCCCAGTGTAAGCCGTCAGATGTGTTACTGCATGCAGATGTTGCCATAGGTACACACAGACGCCTGCTCTCCGTCGCAGCAGCAGCAGCAGCACTTCTTTCTATTTTTCATGAGCCCGGGTGGTTGCCAGGGTTTTTGTTTCCATGGCCACGCTGCAGTCTGATGCAACAAAACCCAGCCAGAACCCCCCTTGGGTGCCTTGGCGCGATACCAACCCAAAGGAGCACCGCAGCGCTATAGGCTGGCAGCGCTGACTGACTGACGTCTCCGGGCCCCGGGCCGCGGTGCCAGCTGAGCTAACACTATACACGACCCTAAAAGCTCCTTCCACAATCACTTACTGACTGGCCACAGTTCAGAGCAACACTTTGTACAGTTTCCTAACATCAGTGATTCAGCTATTTATTACTCTTGATGGCTCTGCAGGAATGTTTTGGACAGGAAATTTCTACTAATGCTAGTGTGGGGCCCGTATGTGTGTGTTTGTTCCAGGGTCGGGGGACTACGGTTCCTTTGGGAAAACAAATCCTTGAACCTTTGAATGTTTAAATGAGTTGGGAAACAGAGATTATAACGACTAAATCAGTATATATCAGTACATTACTCCGGCCTGAAGCAGAAGTAATGCACTGCTCCTTCCTCTATACGTTTGAATACATCTAAGAGGTACAACTGAATTAATTCATAATGTATGAGAAACCAATAAATCTGGTCTGTCAATGCCTGTAAACACATCTTTGTAAACGCCCCCCCATCCCTCTGAAAATCAGCAATCATAGTGACTTTACTGTTGCTGCTCTAGAAACAATATTTAGTTATATTTACATATATATAAATATATAATCAATTCAAATAATATTCAGGACATTTTGTGTAATGTGAAAAACTACAACCTGTTTTATTGTTATAATAATTGTCTAAAATGATATGAAAATTAATTTCTGGGTTCATCCAAAGCATTCAATTAATAAGTCACATATCCATAGAATAAATAATACATAAAACAAATTATCTTTGAATACATCCCCAAACATACAAAAACACTAGTGGCTAAAAAATATGGGCATTTGTTATATAAATATCAGTGGTTGTGACACTTTGTTCTCTCCTCAGTGTGATCAGGATCAATGCATCCAGAGCACCAAGTTTGTCCTCCAGGTTGCCACCACCCCTCTTCTCCACAGTGACCCCGTGGTTCTGGCCCCTCTGCCGGGGAAGACCACCACACTGGGGGGCCCCTGCGCCTACCTGGCCCCCTCCCAGCCCTCCCTGCCGTCCTGCGGGGGAGACGTCCTGACCCTGAGGGACGCCGCCGCCGACTCCCACTGCCACCACCACCTCCACCATCACCACCTTCACCACCACCACCACTTCGTCAGCCCGGAGGAGACGCCCTGCACTACGCCGCAAGGCGCCCTGCCCTGCCCCGCCCACCTGCACCTCCACCCGCACCTGTCCGTGCCCACCCCCACCGCCCTGTACGACCCCTCCAGTCAGGACGCTCTGCACGAGGACTCAGTCAGAGGGCTGGTTAAACTCAGCTCCGTCTGAACCAAACTGACCACATTTCTTTCCTTTGACGACACTTCAGACTGCAGATCCTCATTCAGCGTTTAATTAACCTCAACGTCAAAAAACATCCATTTCTTTTTAAGATTGTCTCAAAATTTGGTTAAAATTTGCACTCGAACATTCGGATGGAAACTTGATTGATGATGTGAGTCCAGCGTTTGAGGGTAAATCAGGTCAAGAGAACGTAGCTTCAGACAAAATGGCGGACCTCCACCGCCACGAGCGTGTGTGCGAGAGGCACCTCCGTTATCTCAGTAATCTCAGTAATAAACTACTCTAGAATTACATTTGACAAGCGAACATCATCACTGTAAACGGGCGATTTTTCTCTTCCCGACAAACATTAAGTTGTTTTTTAAAACCCTCTGGAGTCCAGCTTCAAGTTGTGTCCTCACTCCACTTTAACAAAGTAAAATGACACAGGCGCCTATAAAAATATACTTTTTATTGATGATAAGCACTTAAAATATTATTATAGACATACAGCAGAAACAATTAAAACTAGAATATAATCTATTTACATGTAAAGTGGTTTAAACTGGTTTGCATCTGCCTGTAAATTAATAATTTAAAGTTTGAATTTGAATTTCTTCCCAAATGTTCTGCAGATATAAATAGTCGTCAGCTAGTTTGTCTCAGTTTTGTCTTTATGTGAGCTATAAATAGTTGTTACCATGAATAATAAAACATGCTCAGTAGATGAAACTCCAGAGGGTTTTAAACAAAAATAGAACAAATGTAGACGCCAGCGACCAGAATAAACAAGACACAAACACTGTAAACGAGTGAGGAAGTAAAATCAGGTGTTTGTTTCTCTTTCTGTTTGCTCTTCAGAAGGCGGGAAGATCAAACACCTTTCGGATTTCTTTTCGCTCGTTATCTGCAGGACCAAAGTCATATTTTCTTTCATGCTCCTCTGTGGTCTTTGGTGAAGTCTGCTTCCTGCTATGAACAATAAACATTTTATCCAGAATAAGCTACTCCGGTGCCAAACGGAGGTCCGGCTCCAGCCACAGTCGGACCGGGACCAAAACGACTCTTTTTATTAAACGGTTGATTGAGACGACGTGTTTCTGACTGAATGAAGATAAACTGACTGTTATTCTCAGAGGAGCTGACTGAAGCTTCAGGTTTTCATTTGAGGACAAAACGAAGCAGGACTGAGTTTCCCAGAAACATCTGCAGACCCGAGTTCATCAGCAACACTGCCAGATGTTCAGCAGGAGTTCACCTCTTTAAAGGCTCAGTCACACCCAATTTAAAACGACATTTCAATTACTTTTAATGCTAATTTGACATAGTGGCCAGAGCCCTGCAAACAAATTCCCTGTCCCACTTTCTGGTGTGACTGAGCTTTAACTGGTGGATTCACCTGAAGCTCCAACGCTGTTCAAACCCACAAAACTTTATTTAAAAGTCTAACGGAGATCTCAAATGTGTTTTATGCTTTAACAATCAGAGAGGAAAAGCAATGTTAAGCTAACAGCATGTGGAATGTCAGTTTTTATTTATCTGCTCTGACAGTTAAATGTTGCATCACTTGATTTGATTCCTTTTATTTTGAAAGTCAGATACATATTCTAGATGCTTTAGTTTGTCATTGGTTTCATGATTTAATGCAAATATGTTTTAGAACATCTATATATGACCCCCAGGAGTCTCTGCTACCTTTAATTAAATAAATAAATATACAGTATTTTTCACTTGTTTCCTTAGCATTGTGGAGAAACTGCATTTAGATCTTCAAGTTGGGACATAAAATTGACAATTTACAGACAATAACTGTAAACAGTTTACAGATAGTAACATTGAAAAGAAAATAATAAAAAATATATATAAACATTTGGCCTTTATTTGTTATATATCCTCAGTATTTCTGAGTTCTGGTTACAACCCAGCTTGTGCTCATATTTCATTATGTTTACATATTTAACACTCAAAGATAATCGATTAAACAACAAAGTAATTGAAAGATTAATCAGTAATTCAAATATTTCTGGGGGTTCAAATCAGAGTTAAAGACTGAAGATAAATACAGAAAGTCTTTAAAGTATTTTTCCCACTGAATAATAACGACCTGGAAGGTATTCAAGAGATTATTTTGTATTTTCATTGGTTTAATATTAATATCAATATCAGACAGTAACATTATCTATGAGCCTTATTGACTTTAATTGGTGAATTCCTCCATTTACCAGGTTGTTTTATTGTTATGTACAGCTGGAAGGTATTGACAAAAATGTGACATAAATATAAATAAATAATGTACTTAGTAAGTAATTGTAGGCCTTGTTGTCCCTACTGGTTTTCCAGGAATTAAATTTATTGTGGAAACTCTGTGGCAGCTGTCAGCGATGTCAGATTCAATTAAAAACAATAAATGCCTTATTTTTTATTTTATTTATTTACTATGAGATCTGTCCCCCCCAGCAGTGATGCATGAAGCTCAGATAAACTGAAAACAATCACTGATGTTGGTTTTTTTGACTCGCTGCAGGGACAAAACGATGGATGTGATCTTTTCTATGACAGGTGAGGAATGTTCACCTGAGCGCTGCCTTCTGGGAAATGTAGGCGTCAAACTGCAGCTCGGCTTTAAGGTTCTGGTGCAGCTGAAGGCAGAAGAGGTGAACTGTGGAGTCCAGGTGTTGACGGGTTCAGGACTTTGTGAATCTCTCGTCATGTTGTCTTCACTCTGGTGATGATGTAACAGACGTTATTATCCAATCAGCTTCAGAGACACCTGATGATCGGACGATTGATAACATCCACTCTGCATTCAGTTTAATTGTAATGAGAAAAAAAAATATGCACAGATTGTAGTTGTGTGCCAAGAATTTCTCCTCCACCTCCAGCTGTCACATTAACAACTGTGGATTTCAATAAAAGACACTTTTTTAAAAAGGAAGAGTTTCTTTGTTGTTGTTGTAGAGCACTGGTTCCCAACCCAAGGGTCCCGACCCCCACTAGGGGTCGCCAAAGCTTCTTGATTTTAAAGAATGTAAAAAAACTTTTTCAAGAAAATATACAGTTGGCCTATAACTCAGCAATTTATACATTTATATGAAGAAAACTAAAGGAAATTGTTATTTTTAAAGTGTTTAAAATAAATAAACCTTCACTCTCTGATGAACAGCCTCGTCCTAAATTAGAAAAGTTAAAACAACCAAAGATCTGAAAGAACAATGAGGTAAACCTATTAAGTCTGTATGATTGTTAAAAATCCAAAACATGCACAATATAGACAGAATTGTATAAAAAGTCTCTAAAAGTATCAGTAAAACTCATTCCTTTTTCATTTCACTCTTCATCCCTTTTCGTCTCGTCCGTCTCAGCGCCGCGCGTCGCCTGTCACCGCCGTTGGTCCGACAAACACACCAACACTACACTTGCGCACCGTCTCTTTTTTTTCGACTCCTCACTTACTTCATCTTTCCCCGCCGACGCCAAACACACGTATTCACTGCGTCCTGCGGCGCCCACGCCTCAACACCGCCTGACGCTACCAACATCACACGTCTCACCATAGCAGCGCCGCGACACTTTCTGCCTCCCTCGACTCGTCCGACGGCGCTCGCATTCTCCTGTCCTAATGCTTATTATCAACTAGTCAATACCTACATCCAGCAAACCACACCTGATTGCACTCGGCCTCTTCCTAAGGTTTATTGATTAGTTCTTGTTCAACTAACCAACTCCACTCAGTTCTTTATTCTAAGTACATCTATAATACTTCACAGATAATTTATATCAGAATTATCGTGGAACTTTTCTTTATATCCATAGCTGACTTTAATGTCATTAATTAATGTTTCTATCGCTGACCTTAATTAAAGTCAGCTGATTACACTCCAACTGCACTCGCATCAACTAATCCTAATAGTTATACCCTCTCCTCATCTCTTCACTTCAGTTCTGCTGCAGTTAACTATATACCAAATTATAACCCGACTTCATACACCTACAGTCTACAACCGATCAAACACGTCGTCTCTAAAGAGTACCACCATACCAAGTCAGCACCTACTGAAACGATTTACCCTTCAACCCCAGCAGACGAGCTGCTACGACGTGAACAGAGTATCCCCAGTTATCGAACTCGCTCACACCAATTCCTGGTTTTCAGCGTCATTCAAAGTAATAACATCCTCGTAAATATATTACATCAAAGTACATCAAATCCTGCTAATACTATCTCAGATAAAGTAACTAAAAGTCAAATCATACCGCTCTTAATAAAGTCAACCTAAATCTTTCAAATCTTACTACTTCAATAAACTAATCACACTGTAAGTATACCATTCAATCAACGCAACTAAATGAAAATACATTAATAAACCGTCAACCCCGCAAAGTAATAAGAAAGTAAACACTATATTCAATAAACCGTCAATCACCCAAGCTTTAAATATATTCAACTACAACTCAACCTAAAGTTCGTAAAACATTAATAACACGTACCTAAATGTAACATATATCTAATCCAAAGTCATCACAATGCTAAATACCATTCAATACAAGTATCAAACAGCTAACATACACTTACATCAACCAGCTACATCCACAAAGCCTAACAGTACCATCTTAATAACCAGTCAATAAACAGTAAAATACATTACACTACCAATAATCAAAGTAAATACACTTATTCAAGTACACAATAAATACATTCAACCTAAAGCTATAAACAGCCTAAATACATTCAATAAACGCTATAAAAGTAAATACATTAATCAAGTAATAAACAGTAAATACATTAACTAAACTATAAATGTAAATTATATTAATAAACCAATAAATGTACACATACATTAATAAGTTAATCAAATGTACATTACTTAACTAACAGTATATAAAAGTAACATATACTTAACTAAACGTAATAAAGTAATTTTTAAAATACATTATAAGTAAATACAAAGTAATATATAATAAAAGTACATAAAACGTAAATTACAATTAATAAGTAATAAAAAGTAAATAGCATATTAAATAAAAGTCAATAAAGAGCTAAACATATTAATAAGTAACTAAATGTACCAATACACTTAAGTATAAACAGTAAATACTACTTAAAAAGCGTAACCTAAATCTGTAAACATATGTAAGATACAAGTAATAAGATGTAAATATTAAGTACATTAAATGTAAATATATTAATAAAGGATAAATGTACAAACCATCTAAGTAATAAATCTAAATATATTATAAACGTAATAAAAGCGTAAATACACTTTAATCAAGGTAATAAAAGTAACACCTACACTTAATAAACGTAATACAAAGTAAACATATTAATACAAGTAATAAAGACTGTAAACCCCTACACTATGAACAGTCATACAAGCTGCTAAATACATCTAAATACAACGGTAAATACAATGTAATACCTATTAGATAAAGTACATAAATTAAAATATACATTCAATAAAGTCATCAAAGCTGGTAACATACCATTCAAACACGCTATATACTGTAAATATATTAATAAAGTAATAAAAGTAAATATATTCCAATAAAAGTAATCAAAATAATATACGCTTCAACTCACGTAACTAACAGTAACATATATTATAAAAGTATAAAGTAAATACATTAACTGAAAGTCAATAACACACGTAAATACATTAATAACAGTAATAAAAGTACAACATATTTACACTGACAACGTAATAAACTGTAAAATACATTACCAGCTAATAAAAGTACAAATATACCTTAACTAAAGCTAATAAAAGTCCACTTTATTCTCTAACTAAACCCCGGAAACAGCTGATCGGTCCGCTGTTTGGCCCCCCACAACCCGACGCTTTCAGGCCGCCACTGACGCCGAACTACCGGCCCAAACAGTGCCGGTTCCTGGTGCTAGAACCTGTGGCGGGAAACATGTGTGTGTGCGAGCGGCGAACATCTGGAGGCGTAGCAGCTGGACACTCACCGCAGCACCGGAGAAGCATGGTTCCGCGCGGTTCTGAGCCAAGGATGCGGCCTCGTGATTCTAGCACTTCCGGTGGCTGGAGACGAAGCCGCCACAAACAGGCTCCTCATTTAGTCCCGTAAACACGCGTTTACCAACAGGGATTAACCCGCGCGTTACTGGACCGCTCACACCACACTGAATATCCGGACCAACCACACGGCCACAACTTAAAACACAGTACACGGCACCTGAAACCGGAGCTTTTACCGGTTAAACACGATCAATGAGTCGCACAGTTTTCCTCCCGTGTTCTTTCTTTGTCCACCACGACATTTGTTGATCTCGCTGCTGAGTGTCGTCTTTCATCCCTTCCACCGGAAAGAGGAGAGCGACACGCAGAAAGCATCTTGGCTCCCTTCGACTGGCAGAATACAAAAGAGACAGTGAACTACACAAATCATAAACAGTCTAGAGTAGTCACAAAACGAACGCAGCAAGCGGCGGGAACAGCGGCAAGAGCACCCACACACGGGACTGACGCGGCCTTCTGCCTGTCCCCGCGAGCCTTTCTTCAACTTGAAATCTTCGCGCTAGAACGTGCAGCCGGCCAAGTAGAAGAACGCGCCTCGCGGCGGCCTTCTTTAAACTGACGCAGCGACGGAGCCCCAATTCAGGTGGCGAGGCTCGATCACGATGCCGCCCTGAGCTCCGCCGGAAACTCCAAAAGTCTTTGTCTTCGTGCGGCGGATTTACGAAACAGCCCCAACCGCGCTCACAAACGCGCACCTGTCGAGCCTTTACACACATTTCATAAACGTCTGCAAACACACCACTTCTTATTTCACTTTCAAAAACACAAAACTGAGATTATTAAACTGTTACAGAAAGGTTCTAAAATAACGTCGACAACCGCGAAAATCAAAGTGACTTCGCTGTCTCGAGAATAACGAGCCTCGTCCTAAAATGATGCAATTTAATGAACTTGCTATATACAGTTAACACTGCTGTTTCTAAACCAAATCGTTCTCACACAGTTAACTAATCCAGTTACACCACACTGTTTGTATTCTGCACAGCACCAGAATCCGTGCTGTCGTAAACATGTCAACATACAACAGTTAATCGGTCGTACCAACAACAGTAGACTGTAACCACTTTCTCATTCTGCTATTACACTCCACTCATTACGAGTTTCTAATGCTGTGCCATCAGCTCTGTGTGTACTTAACAGTGACTCATTCAAACTCGTACTTTAATAAACTGCAATCACTGTTATTTACCTAGTTGTTAATTACCTGCTTCTGCTTTCCCGCGCCGCGCTCCTTTCTTTGTTTACTGTTTATCTTAAGGTCTGTCTCCCATAACTTTAGCCGCAGAACTGATTCTTTAAACAACCTAAAACATTGCTGCTGACCTGTTTGTTTGTCAGGCTTGTACACTTTGTAATATCACCTAAATTCTAGCACACCCAGAACTCTACAAACGACGCTTTCAGACTGTTAAAACTACATTCATTTCTGTGCGGTAATTTCGTCCTTCGAGCGATAACAACAAACCGATTTAATAGATACACTTATATGTGAATTTGTGTCGCTGGTTGGCAAGAAGTCTACTTCCGTACCTTCTACTCCGATTCAAAATTTCTCTCTTCTTATCTCGTTTTCTCCTCTTCTTATCTCCGTTTTCCCCTCTTTTATCGTCGTTTTTCTCCATTCTTTTATCTCCGTTATTCTCCTCTTTTATGCTCCGTTTTTCTCCTCTTTTATCTCCCGCTTTCTCCTCGTTTTATCTCCGTTTCTGCCTCTTTTATCTCCGTTTTCTCCTCTTTTATCTCGTTTTCTCCTCTTTGTAATCTCCGTTTTTCTCTCTTTTATCTACGTTCTTATCCTCTTTTATCTCCGTTTCTTCTCCTTTTTATCTCCGTTTTCTCCTTCTTTCTATCTCCGTTTTTTCAATCTTTTTCTCCGTTTTCTCTCTTTTTATCTCCGTTTTTCTCCTCTTTTATCTTCCGTTTCTCCATTCTTTTCCTTTTATCTCCGTTTTCTCCTCTCTTTTTCCAGATATTATCTTGCGCGGATTTCTCTTCCGGCAGGCGGAGCCTGAACTGACAACTGCTTCCGGCGTTGCTGCCGACAGCGCTCTGACTTGTGTTCGGGAAAGGCGGCGTCAGAGCCTGTGAAGCTACGTCAGCAGCTAGAGAACGCCCCCTAGCGACGGGGAAATGAACCAGCCCTGCACAGCCTTGGACAAAGGTGCTCTACTTGTCTTATATCTCTAGCCAACAATAAAAGCGTGAAGTCCATCAGTTATTATTAGTTTGTAAACTTATATACGTTATACTTATCGCAGAACCACTGTAACATATAAACATACTAAAACTCTTTTTGTTTTTTAATTGCTATCCCCTGTAGTTGCAATACCATCTGCACTGTCCTTACGCTCGTTTTCCTGTTCAACTTTGACCTGTAACACTTATAGTCAGCATACCAAGATACACTCATTTATATCTTATCTTTTATCTTATTTCTGATTCTCGCTCTCTTAAGGTCAGGTTTTTTAGATTTTAGTTTACATGCTATGTCTTGAGTTTCACTCTGGATACAATAAAGTATCTATCTATCTGTCTGTCTTGTCTGTCTGTCTGCTCCTTCGTCTGTCTGTCTATCTATCTAGCTCTATCTATCTACTCTATCTATCTATCTGGTCCTGTCTGTCTGTCTGTCTGTCTGCTCTCGTCTGTCCTGTCTATTATCTCAAGTCTGTCTCGTCTGTCTGTCTGTCTGTCTGTCTGTCTGCTCTGTCTGCTCTGCTCTGCTCTACTCTAGTCTATTAATCTATCTATCTTATCTAAGTCTAATCTTCTATTCTAATCTATCTATCTGTCGTCCTGTGCTGTCTGTCTGTCTGTCTGTCTATCTGTCACAATAAACCAAGGACAGTCACGCTCAGAGTGTTGGAGAGAAATTCTGTATTTAATCACAACATACTAAATACTAACTGTGTGACATTCATGGACCACAACTTATTGGACGTTTATGTACAAAGATCCTGGAATCAAATATCTGATAGAGATGATC